TGACCAAGCACTTCATCTGCATCATGCCGTCATTCATTTTTTTCGTCGGTTCATCTATATCATTCTTTTAATCGTGTTGTTCTTTTTCAAAGGGGGGCCACACCATAGTTATTGATCGGTTTGACTTCGATACCATGTTAAGACTTGATGTTTCATTCCAAAAGGTCAACCTAATAAAATGAATAGTCTAGAATTTTAATATATCACTTTATTACTTTATAATTTATAGGTGTAGCCATGTGGGATTTCAACACTTGAGAAGTCTCTATCTTCAAGCCTCAGTGAGCCACCGTATATAGAGTAAGTCATATTTATAAACACATCCTTGTAATTTTACTATTTGATCTTTTGTATAATGCATGGAAGAATCTCTATATTTGAGAATTATACTCGCGTGCTCCCATCACTATCTCAATCAATTTCTAAGTGATATCTTAAATTCACAAAACGGAAATTCTGAGTTTTACCAACATTTGTCTTTATTAATGGAATCATTTATTTCCTTACAATAAACATAATGATGATATAAATCTATTCATTATTTTACTATTCTACTATTTGCATTTGGTATATGATAATAGCGAACTGTTTTAAGGTATCTTTGACGTATTGTTTGAGTCAAGGTTTGTTTTTTCTTTAGAATGAGTCTGAAATTATACTTACTTGATAACTGCGTCTTTGTTTGTCCCATTTGGTACACAATAATATATTAATTGTTTTTATAACATAACAATTACTTCTAAGGGCATCTCCTTAGTTTTAGGTTATTTCAAATAAAGACAACTATGTGAACAAAGAATTCATACGTTTCTTGATGCACAGTCATCATGAATATACGAGTAATTACTTTTTAGGTACATATTTCAAATTTAATACTTGGTGGATGATCAATAAAGCTTGTAACTTGATTTTTTAATATACTTCTAGAAAAGTTTTTATTAGTAAAAGTACCATGTACAACATAATAATTTAAGAACATTCCCTTTTAAATAAACATATTGAATTGAAGCTTTATGGGCTTATATATTGCGATGGGGGTAGAACATACAATAACATGTTACATTCATCAAATTAGACATTAAGTTTACCATTAATTCGCTCCGACTCAAAACAAATCGAAATTCTCAAATCTATCTATAGTTGCTCTCACACTCGTCAATAATATGGTCATCATGAACAAAATTTCTTTTCCTACCAGTACTTGTGATTTACCTGAGGTAATTTTGAGATGTTTTTTTAAATCTTATTTAGTGGCTAGTGTAAACATGCAACTGTGCAAGACATGTTATCAGAGGCCCTTCCTATACATATGTATGTATAGAACCTCCGTGCGGACAACGCCATCAAAGGCCCTTTCCGGTGGTATTGTTTCATGAAATGTTTTGAGCATGTTCCTCATCACGTCTAGTTTATGCATACCAAATTTCAGATAAAAATTCAATCAGGAAGAAAGTCAAATAAATTCTTTACAAAAATTGTTCTTTATATATATAAACAGCGCATATTTTTATAACAATTTATTTGACTGCCTTCCCGATTTAATTTTTAGCTGAAATTTGGTATGCATAAACTATACTTGACAAAGAACATGCTCAAAATATTTCATCAAAAAATTCCACCAGGAAGCGCCTCTAATGGCGTTGTCCGTACGGAGGTTCTCATACATACGTATGTATGTGAACGGAACTATATATATGTATGTATATATATACTCTGTATCTACTACGGAGTATGGGTGTTTAGCTATCGATTGTTAGCATAATGTGTTAGCTTATAGATGATGGTGGTTTGTGTTGATTGTTTTGATTAGCTGATAGTATTAGCGAGTTGATAAAAGAGAAAAGTATCAAATAAGGCCCCCTACTATAATGAAAATGTCAATTAAGGTCACCAACTAAAACATCATCCAATTAAGCATACGAACTTGTAAAAATGGTCAAATCTGTCTTTTACCATGTAATGAACCGGTCACTTACACGTGGCGACACGTGGCATTTTCCATTTTCTTTTTCTTTATAATTCTTTCCTCTCTCCTTCGTTCCTCTCTTCTCCGTTTCCTTTTGCTTCGCCCTGTGGGTTATTACGTTGCTGCCTCCCCGTTTCCCAATTTTCTTTTGCTTTTATTCTTAATTACACCCCCAAGATACCCCCGTTTACCACTTTTCTTTGATTTTTGAATTTTGACATACCATTTATTTAATCCATGGATCAACAAGAAAAATAAGAACAATAAATAAAATTATAAATTGACGGAGAAGATTTCATGAGACGGAACGTTGGTAAGAGAGCATGACAACGTTCGGTGAAGATGACTGGAGCTCTATTTGTCGGCAATTTCGCCGGAGAAGACGACCGGAGCTCTCTTTGCCGGAAATTTCGCCGGAGAAGACGATCGGCGTTCGACCCAACTTCTATGGCTTTGCCGAAGGTTGGTTGCGGGGGAAGAAGACTGGATCTCGGATCCGACTGGTGATTGCAAAATAATGAAGGAAAGAGAGAAAGGTAAAGAAGGGAAAGGGAGAAAGAAAGGCGCAGGACAGAGGAGAGGAGAGTGCGGGAGAAGAAAGGGGGTGGGGAAGAAAGAGAGAAAGAAAGAAAATAAGAGGGATTGTTACCTACGAAAATAAGAGATAAAGAAAAGGAAATACAAATAGCAAAAAGAAAAGGAAAAATACAAAATTAAATGCCACATAATACGTTTTTACCTGGAACCGGATTGTTACATGCTAAAAGCCTAAAACGACACTTTGCTTTTTTTTTATTATTGGTTCATGGGTCTAATTGGGTGATATTTGGGTTGATGCCCTTAATTGACATTTTCGTAACAGTATGGAGCCTTATTTGACACTTTTCCCTTGATAAAAAGGTGTTTGCAAAATAATTCCGGTACACATGCTCCTAATAGATACAGAGTATATATACTTCTGCTAGCTTCTAACTTTGTTCCTCTTATGTGTTTGTGTGTGGGGTTCTGCATGTAAATTTGTTTCGAAAGTAAATATAATTTGTTTCGCAAGTCGCGATTTTTCTTCTCCGTTTCGGGATTTGATCGGCACCCCCCTGCGCGTGAAGAGAGCCTTTCCACCAAGGAATCTTAACTCCTTCAAAAAGGGCCACCTTTATAAGTAGTGATGGCAACGGGGCGGATCGGGGACGGGTACACATAAAATCGGAACTGCCCCGTTGGATACATGTTTGCCCCAAAACCGCCCCATTACCCATTCGGGTAATTTTTATTTGAACCGTACCCGCCCCAACGGGGAATCGGTTTATCCACGGGTAACCGTTTCCCCAAATGATACCAAATAACCAACTTTTTTTGAGAAAACAAATAACCAATTTTTAATCCTACTTGTTATTTATATATTCAAAGCACCCTAAAACATACAAAAATAAACATTTAAGCAATCAAGCAGACTGACCTAAATTCATTAGTATGGCATGTACCCAATATCTCTTGTAACATAATAAAAAAGTAGTAATCATCCCACAATCCAAATTTCAAAAATAGGTTTAGGCCTATATTTAGTTTTAGGCCGAAAAAAGTAGTATACTTTTTAGCATTATTTATATGATATATACTATTTATTATACACAATTTAGCATATATAGTTATTATTCTTATATATAAAAAGTTATAATTTATTAATAATGTTATCGATCGGGTAACGGTGCGGGTACCCGCAACACTAGTGAACGGGGCGGTTTCGGGGCGGATAACGGGGTGGATTAGTATAGAACCATAACCGCACCATTAACCATTTAAAAAATTCGGGTATTCCCCGCCCCGTACCCATTCCCCAGTCAAACTGGTTTTCCCCAGTTTGACCAAATCGGTTCGGTGCGGGTATCCAACGGGTCAGTCGAAATTGCCGTCTCTATTTATAAGGGGGTGAAAATCCCTTGGATTTCCGGTATAGGAAAAATCACACAAAAAATCTATCATTTTCTCAGTTTTTTCATTGCAACGAGTGAACTTCGAGAATCAATTTCTTATTCACTCGTTATCTGTTTTGAGTGTACCACATATCGAATTGAAGCCCTTAACAAGGGAAATCCGAAACCACTTTGACCCCACCCAAATTGGAAGTGGGACCCACTCAAAATTCTTCCCCAAATTAACCATTTATGCAATTTTAACACATTTTTTCAACATTAATTACTCCTATTTAAGGAATAAAAATATAATATCCTATTTTGGAATTAAAAAATTTACTCCTAGTCTAATTTCTTTTTAATTTAATTGTTACCTATATAGACTTTTCCTACCTTCGGGTTACTTTGATTATTTTGTAGGGAACACAAATCTTGATGCACTTAATGAAGGACCGTTGCTTGAAAAAAAGATCACGTATGTTCAATGGCTTCCAAGAAGTGGAAGTCTCATTGTACGATATTCAAAAAATGAAATTGGTGTATATTATGCAAAAAGAGTATGCAACTGTGAACCCCTCATTAGTTGATGTAAGTTTTGCATTTGTTTATTCATAGATAATCATCAGTGATTGATATGATATTGGCCCTATTTGTTTAATGTCGGTTGGGGTGCAAAAGTGCTACATCGAGCAGCGTTTCCAATTATAAAACATCAGCGTCTTGGAGTGAAACGCCAGCACCCAAACATCCCCTCATTAATACCCCTCCGTCCCGTTGGAATGTTCCCGTTCGGTTTACGATGCTTGACTGACGATAAAGCAACTCGATCCCTATTCACACTCTGCTTATTTTTAGTAAATAAAATTTATATATTCAGAAACTACATTAAAACCGCTACAAAGCCTGATCAAGAAAAGTTCAATTTGATAAAAATTTGATATATAAAGTAAAAGATTAGGAGTGACCTAAGTTGACCAATGAATAGTGAGCGGGAACATTCCAACGGGACGGAGGGAGTAGTCATTATGTAGGGTGCTTCATTCTTGTTTAATTTACTTTAAAGTTTTATTGTTGACAATATATACATTGTCTTGTTAATTTTCATATGAAAGGCGGTTGGCACTGACGGGATTTCGACATGCGTAGGTCTTATCATTCGAAATCCTAAAAATAGAAAGTAAGATCCAAATCCATATTCTTGGTATAAAAATGTAAACCTTTTATCTCAAAAGGCAAATGGATTAGATCATCACTTACTCAAAAAATGAGGTGGCATTTAGATATTTGCTAAATCTTTTACATGGTTTGCAGGATATCTGTTGCCCATATAGATATTCCCAATATTGTTGAAGATGGCCTACTCCAAATGCTATCTTCCATTTCTGATCAGGACTCCAATGATAGTTATGATGTACGAAGTATTATTCTTCTATCTTATACGGAGTATTTGTTTATTGCATACAACTATATTTACACATTCCTTCATTCATTCCTTAATAAATTTATACATTCATGTTTCATTAATCTTCAAATTATTTTTACATTTCTGTTTTAAAAATAAATGTGGGTTCCACATGTTTTTGTCGTTATTAAATGAATGAATGAATGAATGAATGAATGAGTGGATGAATGAATAAATAAGATACAGGTAATTTCAAATTTTTTTGACAATGTGCTTCCACAAACATATAAGAGACAATTTTTATTTAACTTGTTAAGAGTTTGTTTGACTAATTTATACCCTCTCAATACTATCAAAACCGGTTTGGACCGTGGGACAATTTGATACATTTATATCAATCTATGAGATTGATGTAAAATAACCAAACGCTATATAAAATTCTAAGCTACTCCCTTTATTAACTTTTTTAGAAGAGTATATGTCACTATTTACGTACTTTTAACATCCTCATTAAGCTAGGAAACAATTAATCTTTCTCGATCAAAAGTTTTAGTGTAACTAACGAGGTAAGAACATGACTCATATGCAGGTGCACTTAATCGGTGGTTACAAAGACATTCCATATGAAGTAAGGATCCGATAAGAGTTGTCCTAGAATAGATCAGAAAATTCCAATCCAATTAAAAACAATACTCTTATATCCAATTGAGAAATTTGCGTATTTATATTCATAATTATGTGCTTTAATTAAGTTTTTGTATATTTTATTATTTGTCAATTTACCACTTGCAAATCTTTGCATTAAAGATATATGCATCAACCATTGACATTATATATATTGATGCATTTGAATCATTTAATAGTAACAATATGATAACCCTACTACCGAATGAAATAAATCAATAGCCCGAGTATGTTCATTTGCCTCAGGATGGTACCATATTACCTTCTAGTACTGAATTATATACATGTTTGGTTTCGGTTACATCTTTCTCAATTAGTACTGCATGGTCAGTCGAGTTTGAATTTGATAGCACTGATAATTGATTGTGTTGACTAATTAGTTCTTTTTTTAGTGTGAATGTTAATTAATTAGTTACAAATGTTTTTTTAATATAATGTAATGATAGAATTCCGAGTTCTAACAGCCAAATCAGAATTTCAAATGGCGGGTGCACTAAATTGAGATATTTGAATAATTGAATGTACTTAGAATACCATTTACAAGATTTAATGCGTTTTTACCATAAAAAAGATTTAATAAGGATATTTTGATTTGGATATTTTTCTCTGATTAATAATTTTTTAAATTAATATAATCCTTTTATCATATAAAATAATAATAATTTTGAACATTCCACGTACTTCTAATGCTGCTCACATATACTCACTTGTATGTGCCTTTTATGGAGATTGACGGAAAAAAGTGTCACGTATACAAGTAAAATTATGAGAATTAATTTTGAACAACTTTATATGCCCAATCTTTTTCCTTAATACTCCCTATATTTTTCTTCAGACCTTTTTAGTCCTAGACCTGACTAGCTAGAACAGACAAGATCAGACTTAGACAGTTATAAAATAGACATAGGTCAGACATTTATCGAACTAGACCAGTTAAGATTATATCATATCAGAGTAGATTAGATTAGAAAGTTGAAGAGGCCATAATGCCCGCCTGGGTGTTTAATACGGGGATGACTGAATGTGCAGCATAAAAAGTGGCGAGAAGGAGTTTCTCTTACCCTATGTTCCAAGATAATTGAAGTCCTATTCAATAACCCTGCAAAATTCAACATTCGAACTCTGCATGTTCTTGATCACAATACTCAATATGATGAAGAGGGAAATGCCTATAGAATCTTCCAAGGTTTCATTGTACGTATAGTAAGCTATATATACTTTCTCCATTTCTTAAAGAAAATCTTAATTTTAATAGTACTCACCATATATAAGAGAATCTATATATGTTTTTCTTTTACTCCATGAAATTCCATTTTACGTAGTACTTGGTAAATCGTACTAAGAGTATTGTTTAGTACATTATTATATTAACATTGTTTGAGATTTACAATCATTATTGTTTATTAATTACTTTAGGGTAGTAGAGTAAATTGATAAAAAATTCTTTAGCAAATACGAAAAGAGAAGTTTCTTTAGAATTGAAATGTTACGTTGGAAAAAGGAATACATGAAGTTCTCTAAGGGATGAAGTATCAATTTGATATAATTAGTGTTTTATATTGCTTAAAAAGTGAATCTCTACTTTTAGATACTCTTTTTTGAAAAGCTCTACTTTTAACTTTACAACTTTACAAGAGTTAAAAGTAATATTTTTAAATATGTATGTATTTCTACTTCAATTGAGCAATTTAAATCAATAAGCTGTAAGCTAGTAGCAGAGTGTTTTACACATCTTTTAACTTTTCTATTCCAAACAAAAAACATAAACAATTTTTTACAATGTAAACTTTAAAACAGCATAAACTTTTTCCATTAAACACATTCCTAACAATTTTTAAAATAAATCACTTCTACAAAGTAAAATAAAACACAAACAATCATATTTAGTCATATAGTAACTTATATATTAGTCTATTACTTTATACAAAATTAGTGCGGGACAATTGTTTCAACACTCATCAAACCCAAATCGATCAAGCCAACTAAAGGAGAGATAAATAAATGTGCCATTTTTCAACTTAAATATCTATCTAAAAGGTCAATATTTAAAATTGTACTCATAGTTCAAGATCTTATATGTTGCTTTCATATTTTATAGCTTATTGGTGTTGGACAAATACTCCAACAATTTATTAATCTGATATGCCAACTAGATCTAATTAATCAACATCAATTTTGTTAGCTTTTAGTGTATCGTGTCTCTATTTTTTGTCAGTTGTAACAACTTGACTTTTACACTATTCATATATGTCACTTAACAACATTTCATCTACAGAAATTTTAATTTTAGTCTTGTAACTTTCGGATTTAGTCGGCCTGCATGTAACTATAGTCACTTGTAAATTTGGTCCTATAATTAATACATATTTACAATTTAAGGATTTTCCCTCAAATAGTACTATACACTTTCTGATAAAAAAGTATATCAGAAAAGATGTCGTCAGTGTCGTATTTTTTGCCAGAGAATGTACTTTATGTCGGAAAAGTCTTTAAATCACAAAAATGTACTAGTTAGACCAAATTTGCAAATGGGTAAAAATCAGAAGACGAATAACAGTTACAACCGAAAGTTACTTGACTAAAATTGCAAATCTCCTTTTTACTTATTATTGTATTAACAATTATATTATGAAATTACAGTAAAAAATCTTCTTTGCAAAATTTAAAATATGAATTTTTCATTATTTTAAGTTTTTAACTAATAGTTAATGAAAAATTTTAATAGCCAAAATCATGAATTAACAAATGGGAAATTGTCCTAAATAGGACTACAAATATTTGCATATTCCGAAATAGGACTATTATGTTTTTATTCCTTAAATAGGAGTAATTACTGTCATGTTTCGGAAGTACTACACTTTAAACCTGGCAATGTTTTACAAGTTCAACAGTAATTATTCCTATTTAGGGAATAAAAATTTGTCAGCCCTATTTTGAAATTCTCAAATATTTTTACTCTTAGTTCACGAATTTTCCCTTAACAAATGTAAAAGTCAAAATATTGCAATACAAGATTGGATGAACTACAATTTATCTTAGAAAAATTCTGTTTGTACCTATTTTTATACCCACTTTTATACCCACCGTCTGTGAGAAGCCTTTTTTGTCCATGAACCTCGTTAAGTGTGGATATAAAAGTGAGTACACGTAGCAAAACTGTTTATCTTATGGGAAGTTTATTTTGTTAGGTGGCAACTGATAGCGGGTCAATACTTCCTGCACACTTTCATGAAACTACAAGAGGCCCAGATGTAATGGTTAGAGAAGTTCGTCGAAATCTTTGCGCCGGTGATTCGACTTGGAAGCATAGGTTGTTAGACACCTATGACACTGAATCTGACAGATACAGCATTGCTCCTTGTTATTGGTATTAATTCTTAAATTATTGCTTTACTACATACTATTACCTTTCTGTGGTGCGATTATTAAGAAAAATGGTTTATGTGGATGATATTGAATTGATAAAGTAGAAGTGGTTTAGAATCAGACAAATATTATCAAATTTGATATGAGACAATCTAAGTGGGACGGATCGAAAAAAGAAAGACGAGATAATCTTAATAGGATAGAGGGAGCACTTCCTATCTCATTCCAAACTACTTTTGTCATTTATTATGACAAAGTTAATCCTTCCTTGACAACATTTAAATTGCCATTACTGGTAATTACATTACATTAATAGTTCTATTGAAATGGAGTATAGTATAAGAGAAAAGGTAAATTATGTTGGTCGCGTAAATATTAAGTTTCAAAATTGCTTGAGTGTCATGGGACGAAGGGAGTAGCTCTGGACTATTTGTCGTAGCTAAGATCTCGAGGCTTGTTATGCTAAATTAAATTAATCGATATTAGAAATAGACAAAAGTGTGACCATATCTTAATCTAAACAAGAAATAGACCAAATTAGAAATGAATGAAGTAAATTACCCATAATAATAAAACTCCAATAATAAAATGCTAAATTTCTAACGTTACGTTCAACCTTTTCTCATTAACCCCCTCACATATCTACTGATCTCTCCCTTACATTTCATTCATTGCTGTCCCTCGCATCTTCTTCTTCATTGGCTTTTATGTCCTTGGATGGTGTAATAGTCACCGACACCGACACAGGAGTGAAGATTTAATAATTAAAAAATAATATTAATTTAAAGGGTATAAATATCATATTTTATCATTATATTTGGAAAATTAAAAAATAGTCATATTTTTGTGTTTCTCTTGGTGTTATGCCAAAACTCCATAAAAGTAACTAGTATTATATATTGTGTGGCTGAATGTTGAATTTTATTCGTCGGTATATATATACGTTTCCTTATTTTTTTTAGGGATGAAAGTGTATTAGGAAGAGTTAAACATCTACTAGAATTATCTGATGAAGAGTTCGCTAAGGTGTATTATTATGCTCCACCTGTCCAGATTGATCATAACTACATACGTTATTTGAAAAGGTAAATGTCATACTTTTATTTAGTTGCGTCATATGATATGTTGCCCCCTTTACTCCTGCCTAGAAATAAACCTAAGCTAAAAGAGTATAAACGTATAATAATCAAAAGAAATTCGTAATATCTCACTTAGAAGTAGTGTGAGGGTGATTGTGCATAAATGTTACTCCTACCTTAAGTACAAAAAATGAAGATATATAGATATAGCTCGATGAAAACAAATTAAAGAGTTTTGATAGTATATTTGAACAATAACTTCTCAAACCTTAGTTAGAAGCTATGTTGCATATATATATAGACACATTCTTTTAGACAAAAAAGAGAAAATATTTTATTGATAAAAGATAAGGGTACAAAGCGAAAATAAAAAAAACACAGAGAAGGAAAATACACAACAATACAAAAAGGGGAAATGTAAATCCTGAGTTGAGTGTTCAAGTTGTCTCTTGAGAGGCATTTATCCAAAGCGCTCCTCTAGAAACGGACATCTCATTCAAATTTTACCTTTTCAAATTCCTATAGCTGAAAAAATATGTTAAGAACTACTCTTACTTATAACTCAATTAAGTGCTCCTCTTTCAATTTTCAAAAAGAAACTCAAGTGCTCCCATACCTATCTTTCATGCTATCATAATTTTCAAATGAAGGAATTCCACTTTCGGTCCTCCGAGTTTTGCTCCAATTCCACAATTAGTCCACGTCTTTCACTTTATCCATTTTTGGTACCTGACTATTGTTTTCTTGACCATACATAGTCCCTTTCCGGTAGTAAAAATGCCCAGAGATGGACAGAAAATGGTCAAGAAAACAATAGTTAGTTACCAAAAATGGATAAAGTGAAAGACGAGGACTAAATATGGAAATGACACAAAACTCGGAGGACCTAAAGTGAAATTAATTCTTTTCAAATCGTATATTCTACAATTGAATCTTATCATCATACCGAGTATATAATATTAAGAAGTATTCTTTGATAAAACATGTAGTCTATTTTAGATGAAAATTAAATTTATTACACTAAAAAGTGCTTTTTATAGACGTTTGTGTCTTATTGTCAATTAATTATGACATGGCCCAAAGATTTATTCATATGTGTTTTCAGTGTATTTTTAGTGTTTTGTGTCTAACACGGATTGGATACAACACACAAACTTCTTATGTTAGGTGTGTACATGCGTCGTAGGCTAGAAGTTTTCAATTAGTAAAAGCTTTTTAATAAGAAGAATATGTTTTCCTTGATTTTTTTCATTTGTTAACTAGTAATGATTGTTATAATGTTTCTTTATTTGTACTAGCATTGTTGGATATATTGTGGAACATCCAAATTGGAAAAACGTTTTTCCCAATGGAAAGCCACGAGAGTTTAAGAGAATCCCCAATGGAGATTGGATGGCAATTTCTATGGTGGCAACTGAGGATCGTGTTTCTAGATTTCGTTCTCAGCTAAAGCGCTTTTTCAATTGTATCGTGCGTCTTAAATTCAAAATGCTCTCCATGTATCATCGTTGAGTGTAATATTCTCAATAATTTCCAAACAATTTATTTACACTCATGTACATATGATAACTACTTAAAATCAGTATATATGTATCATACATACTAATAAAGTATTGTAATTATGTATGTTTGCAGTGTGAATGGGTAATTTGTCATCATTACATCAAACATCTAAAACAAGCAATATGATGTGAATGCTAATATTTTTCAAACAATGTGAATGCTAATTGATTATATAAATAATCATAATCTGTGACGTAAGCAAATGGATTTTATGTTAGTTTAAATGTTGCACTGGAAAATATAAGACCGTTAACATTCAGTCATATTGTCATTGGAACCTTAATAAACATGGACAATTCTTGGTGTACACAAGTTGTACACAAAATGTGTACATTGTCTGTGTACACAGACAATTTAACATCAAGTACTGCCCCTTTTTGAACGAATTGCCAATGTACACAGGAAACTAGGGGGGTTTTGTGTACAGCTTGTGTACAACTCATGTACCCTAAGCATTTTCCTAATAAACATAGAAGAACCTGAAACTTAGTTGTCTCGAACATCAATCTCCTCAAAATTTTATGATGGTACTATGCGTTTGGCCCATAGCCCAGATTCATAAACAAATTGTACTTAACATCGGCCCAACCCAAACAAGGACAAAACCAATTCATAACTAGAATTAGGATAATTCTATTAACAGCCTCTTAATTACTATTCACAACCCTTAAAAAAAATTAATACCTAAGATACCCCTAAGGCTAAATCATGTGGTCTGCTGTCAACCAACTCATGAGGTCTCAGGTCTGCTGTCTTACCGGCGACGGCACTGGTAGTGCAAATGCAAGATTCTTGGATATAAAAGCACAGTGAAGTGAAGGATTTCTCTATCTGTTTTAGATTAATCGGAATGTTAGACAATAAATTTTACCATTAATTGATTAATCAACAGCAAAATCTCATTCGGCTATCCATTGCTTTGTTTGAAACATCAAATCAATGTGGCTTGACAACAGATATATGGAGTATGCTTTTTTTGTTTAGCTTTTTAAGAAAGAACAGGCCCCTAAATACCGCATCCTCAACTACACTTTTTGTCTTTTTCCTTACAACTCCCAATTCAGAGGCATATCTCATTCTTATGAGCTCCACTTATACTTCCCCTGCTAATAACACAATATAAAAAACAAGGATCGTTGGGTTCCGTTTGACTAGCTTATAGAGAGATGTCTCAGAAAGATTGATGACCATGAATCTTAAGCCCATGAATAGAGGAAGCCACTGAACAGGCATGAAGAATTCCTCCCCTTGTATATCGCATATGTTAATTCCCAAAGGAGTGTACGGTTGCTCTAGCAGGATATAATAGGAATGATGAAAAGATGAGGCTTTGTTTAGTAAATTTGTGCACATGGTATGTCATTTGTACCATTTGCATGGTACAACTGTGAATTTGTATCATTTGTACGGTACCATTTGTGCACCTCGTAAATTTGTTTAGATGAGGTTGTACCATTTGCACGGTACAACTGGTTGTACCGTATAATTTTTCCTTTTCCTAGGGCTTACATGACAAAACCCATAGGGCAGATATAAGCAGGATTGGCAACAACATAAACCAATCGAAGGAACATGAGCATAAAAGAGACATTATATTAAAGCGGAAGTTATGACAGGGACGTCACAAGAGTCCTATCATAAATATGATCAATATAATTGCTAACGGTTGAGTCTCCTAATAATTGTCTACTACAACGCCTATAAATACTCATGCACATATCATGTAAAAGTGCCCATTCACCATAGTAATAATACTGCCTTTGTGTTGCATCAATACTTTCTCTCTTACGCATAATAAACCCATCAATAAATTAGCTCTTGCAGTTGGAAATATACTCCATAATTTTGTGCTTTCATTGAGAATTAATCTGTGATCTCTTTCACATTTGAACGATGGTAGGATCGCACAGTAATACCCATGTTGGCCAGAAGATAACATAATTTCTCAAGCTGCTCTCAAATAAGAAGAAGCTCCGAGAGCCGAGAAAGTTGACGCCTAAAATAAGTGATCCTATACGAGACCAACCCGGAATGGCTACCCAACATCGTTTTGGCACCAAAACCGCGACCTTCCGCAAGGTCCGCTCACTGTACCAAAATTATTCAATCATTTGAAAGCAGATTTCGAATATGGAACAAAAAATTACTCAGAGGGCTTGAAGGTGATTGCATATTCAACAACTTTAAGTTCTTCTTCTTTTACAGATACTAGTAGCACAGAGAATTTAAGTAAAAGCAAACCAGAAGTACAAACTTTGAGCATGCATGGAACCCGTGCAAATATAGAGGAAGAAGATCAGTGGTTAAAACTTGCGGAAAAGTTTAGCATGGAATAAAGCATTTCTTACCTTAGAAGGTTGTTGTGCTTTGTATTATGAAGATGGGGAAAACTATCAAATAAGCCCCCGTACTATGCCGAAAAAGTCAATTAGGCCCTCGTACTTTACAAACACTCAATTAAGTCCTCGAACTATTAAAAAACGTTCAATTAAGCCCTTTTGGTCGGTAAGTAACTGGTTTCCCAGTTAAACAGCGACGATGGAGACGATGTGCTCGAACCCCAGCAACGGTGGCTGCCGGGAAACGGGTTACATTTAACCGGGAAACCGGTTACTTACCGACCGAAAGGGCTTAATTGAACGTTTTTAATAGTTCGAGGACTTAATTGAGTGTTTGTAAAGTACGAGGGCCTAATCGACTTTTTCGGTATAGTACGGGGGCTTATTTGATAGTTTTCCCTATAAAGATGCCATTTGATTTTTTTATAGCCACTTTTTTTACCAAACATTTTTTTTTATTTGTTCATGCTGAATTGGTTAATAATGAAATAAGATGGGGCCTCTTGGGATGAAATAATTTGGTTGATATTGTTGAAGATAAACGTTTTGACCTTTTCTCATTTTTTTCTTCAGTTTATCAACAATGTTGAATAATTTAAACATATTAATGTGTCCATTAATCTTCTCTAATCAAACTAAACACAACGAATGGGGCAACAAGTGTAGTAAGTTGGAACTGTAGAGGACTATCGAATGGGGCAATGAGGCAAGGAGTGGCGGAATTGGTTCGGTCACAACGGCCGGATATCTGTTTTCTCATGGAGACCAAAACCCGAAGCCAGTGCTCAAAGGAGTTACTGCAGAGCCTAGGGTTCATGAATTTCACAGGCGTCGACAGTGAAGGCCTCAGCGGTGGTCTCGCCCTTGGATGGAAGGACGAGGTTGAGCTCACAGTTTGTGTGTCCTGCTTGAATTATGTGGACTGTGAAGTCCGATTATTGCCGAATGCACTGGCTTGGCGTTTGACTGGTTACTATGCTTTCTCAGATATCGTCCGAAGAAGAGAAGCTTAGAATATGTTATGCAGTCTTGCGGAAGGTAACACTCTTCCATGGATGATTATAGTGGATTTCAATGATATCCTATATGATTCCGAAAAGAGGGGGAATATCTCTCACCCGGTTTGGAGGCTAAGGGGCTTTAGAGAGGCAGTTATCAGTTGCGGGTTGCACGATTTTCCTTTCCAAGGTTATCAGTTTACTTGGGACCGGGGTAAAGGGAAGACTTATTGGGTTGAAGAGAAATTAGACCGCATCCTGGTCAATGATGATTGGTGGAATATGTTCATGGAGGCCCAGGCATCTTCGGTAGAGGCGCCCACCAGTGATCATATGGCTCTATGGGTGAACGTGAAGCCAATGCAATACGGAAAGAAACCAAAGACTTTCCGTTTTGAAAATTTATGGCTTAAAGAGGATGAGTGTAGAACAGTGGTGATTAACCGTTGGAGTGCGGATCATGATTTATCTGTTAGTGAGCGTATCTTGTTTTGTGGCAAAGAACTGATGCGGTGGGATAGCTGTAGACCAAAAGGATTCAGGCACCAAATCCATGCGTGTAAAAAGAAATTGATTAGGCTCCGTGGACGGTCTGGTCCGTGAGGTTTATGTGAGTTTAATCGGCTTAAAATTTTTTATCCAAAATCTGATGGAGAAAGAGCATGTGTACTGGAAACAGAGAGCTAAAGAATTTTGGATGAAAGAGGGGGATATAAATTCTAAATTCTTCCACAATGTGGTTAAACAGAGACGGGGGCAGAATCGGATCCAGGGCTTGCGAGGAAACGATGGTTTGTGGATAACAGATAGGCACGAACTGGAAGGGACGGTTCATAATTACTTTATGAATATTTTTCAGGCCGAGGCAGGGGAGGAATTGATGGAGGATATGAACCTTTTGAGGCAGGTTTCAGATCAGCAAAATGAAACTTTATTGAAGTCGATCAGTCCAGAAGAAGTTCAAGATGCTATGTTTGACATGCATCCAGATAAAGAACCTGGAGCAAATGGTATGAATCCGGCCTTTTTCCAGAAATTCTGGGATGTTGTAGGTGCGGAGGTAGTTTGGCTGTGCACAGGTATTTTTAACACTCGCTTGCTGCCTCAGGAATTAAATATAACTAATATTGTTTTAATTCCCAAAAAAGAGAAGCCAGAAACTATGGGGGATTGGAGGCCTATTGCTTTATGCAATGTGGTCTACAAAATTTTCTCTAAGGTGATTGCGAACAGGCTAAAGAAAATTTTAGGGACTTTGATTGGAGAGAATCAGAGTGCTTTTATCCCAGGCAGATCTATTGTTGACAATATAATAGTGGCGTTCGAGACCCAGCACTTCCTGAAGAGAAAGTGTACTGGAAAGGAGGGATGGGTGGCGATGAAACTTGATATGAGCAAAGCATATGATAGGGTGAGTTGGACTTTTTTGAAAAATACTATGCTCCGAATGGGTTTTCACTCAAGATGGATTGATATCATTATGATGTGTGTAACTACTGTTAGTTATTACATCCAATTTGATAAGGATTTCATTGGTCCGATTGGGCCGGGCAGAGGTCTGAGGCAAGGGGATCCTTTGTCTCCATACCTGTTTATTCTGGTTGCAGAGGGATTAAGTGTGATGTTGCGAAGAGCTGAGCAGGTGGGGAACCTTCACGGCATCTCGGTCTGCCGGGGAGCCCCAAGAGTCTCTCACCTACTTGTTGTTGATGATTGTTTTCTATTTTTTAAGGCAGCAGCAACTGACTGTGTGGCAGTTA